TAGAGTCAATGAAACTGAGAGAGAAAATGGAGAGAAGCAAGGAAAGGACGGGGAAAATTTAAGGAATGGAGGAAAAGACAGTGCAAGCGAGCAAGCAAAAGGAGGCGATAAGCCCGAAGAGCGACCTTCCTTGCCTCTCCCAAAGGTAACCACAATCTTACTGATCCTCGACTGAAGTTATCTGCTTACAAATCAATGACATCTAGTCGCTGATGCAATAATTCCTGTCTGTGTGGCTTTTCGTTTAAAAAGCCCGTCAAGAAAGGATCAGTAACTTCTCTGATCGTCCCTTATCCAACATGGCCGCTGAAAATGAAATCACTGACAGTAAACGTGAAAAGCAAACTATTACCAGCCACCAAAGAAGCTCAACGTATTCATTAACCCGTTACACCTTAACGTCAGTATGCAAACTCTCCATACTATGCTCTATACATTTCTTAAGGTGCTGACAAGGAGAATTTGTTAAACAATCAAGAGCTCTTTTAGATAATGATCCTTTCCTTGACTCTCGTGGCCTGAATGTGTGATTCAGGGATGACACTGTAAAGATAAATCAGGTGCTAATCACTCTTAGGGGTTATAGGGCTAACTTTGCAAATTTTTTTCACCCAGTGGATTTTAAGTAGAGAAATTTTAATTTTGCTGACTTTCGTATATTTAAGGTAGTGTAGTCTGAAGTTGCATTCCGTGTGATAATCAACCAAGCTTTTATTGTCGTAAACAGAAGGTGCATGTCTTTCAGAAAGGAATCTTACAGATATTAGCCCGTCCCACCCTGCCTGCCTTTCCTTTTGACCATCGCTCTCTACCCTTGATTCAATTTTCTTTCTCTCCTCAGCCTTGCGCTGCTGTAAAAACCGAATATGATAGTATGAATTTCACCCACAAAACATTGAGCGCTCGCCAAAATTCTCGCCTGCTCTGCAGGCTATGAGAATGGTGGTATATTGTACACACAACAAAATTGCATTACCTGGTTTAAGTTAACTCACTCGCACGATGATCGTTTTGTAGGACGCTGTACTAGCAGATTTGATCGCACGCCTTCATCCCAGATGGATAGTGAAGTACCATGAGCATGACTCCATGCTACAGAACATCGAGTCTGAAGAACTGACTCCGGAAGAAATGAAGCAGGCATGGGAAGCTTACGAAGCTGAGAGATCTGGCCAAATAGGTGTGTGATGTAATCTATACTGTCTGTCATTCCACTCATCTCCATTTTCTCTCTCAAAATGGAGATAAAATGGAACGAGCTTTTGGAGTTGACCTCCTATTACACGAATGATTTATTTGGCTAACCGTCCTTCTTCCGGTCATGGATTGTGCAAACAGAAATCATTATCGCTAGTGAAATCATTAAAATTATGTCTGTTATAATCATGTGGGGTCAAATTGTTTTTGCCATTGTCGTTTTGGGGTGGGTTACCAAATTGTGCGTATTACTCTCTTTTGTCCTGACCCAGCCAGTCCTTCAGTCTTTAATCCTCGACAGGGTTCGCACGGGTCCTGGAAAACTTGCGACGTCGTGGAATTTTATTCGACTTTTTCCAGGACTGGGAGATACTGGAAAAAAGACTACAGGTCGTGGAAAATCTTGTAAATCTGCTTTACTCAAGCACTGAAGTTTTCAGAATTTACATTATAAGTGTATGTAGACATAAAAGTAATTGATTTTTAAATTTTTGAGAATGAAAGAGTTTAAGGTGAAAATTTGGAACCCTGGAAAATTAAATCTAAGTCTCGGGAAAGTTCTGGAAAATTCCTTGAAATTTGTTCCCGAAAAAGCGTACAAAGCCTGCCTCAATCCTCCTTTATTCCCACTCAGTCTTAAATTAAACCTTGGTTGATTTTTCCACCACTCACCTCTCTTGAAAAGGGATTCTTTTTCAGTGCACACACTTTTTCGCGAGTCCCGAAAGTGTTTGTCTCGGAGAGAATCCGCGGCAAAGGTTGTGACTTGTCGCAAAGGGAAAATAATTGCTTCCAAATGCAATACTGAGAGAAAATAGGGTTGGGGGGAAATGAAACTATTATCTTATTACTCCATTCGATGTAGTGTCAGTTCATATGAAGTTTTTCTGTATTCTTGCTCTTAGTCCCAGCACACAACCGCAACCAGGAGCCTCCACCGGGGAGCCACGCCCACACTCAGATGCAAGTGGCGCAGAGAATCCGAATAAACTCGGATATGTTGAAGCAGATGCAGCAGATTCAACAGCTGCAAGAGATGCAGCAACGTCAGGAGATTCAGCAACGTCAGGAGATGCAGGAGCGCATGCAACGTGTACGGCAAGAGCAGGAACGGTTGTACCAGCAGCGCCACAGCGCTTTGTATCAACAGCACCAGCGACAGCAGGACGAGATACGCCGGCAGAATGAACTGCGATTCATTCAACACATGACGCAACAGCCTGCTGCACAGCGCTTCCAGATCGGACAAAATACAGTAAACGTGCAGACGACTCTTCCGCCGGCCCCACAGGCCTCCCAGGTGTCATTTGCTCGGCCTGGTTTGACGTATCAGCCTCTGAGGGTAGGTTTTCAGGTACCGGCGAATGTTCGCCTCGCTGCCCCTGGAGCTGGAACTATTCCTACAACAGGAACCCCATCCACTATAACCTTGACTCTTGGACCAGCTACGCCAGTCAGTACCGTCAGAACTTTGTCGAACAACGCGCAGGTTTCGCGGCCATAACCGTGTTGTATCTCATTGTGAAAACGCTGCGTTTCGCGAGAGTAGGAAATTTCGACGTGCATAGAAAATGTCTCTTGGACTTTCCTTTGTGATAAATGATCTTCAAGGGCTTGTTTTTTATTTTAAGTGAAGTGTTTATAGAGGCTTATATTGGTATATGATGTGTGACTTTATGTATCTCGGGAAAATGACTTAATGTTGCACTTAATAACGGCCAAGGTAATACTCACTCATCATATGTCACGCGTAGCGATTATTCTAAGCGCGGAATACATCATACAGAAATTATAGTGCTTTCATTATTTATCGAAAATTAAATACGAAGCATTGAAAGCATTGATATATAAATGTGTCTGCTTCCTAACAATCTCCTTTTCGGCGAGGGGCTATTCTGATTCCGTTCTTGAGAGGGAGGGGGGGGTCGGGAGAAAGGTTGGCAGTTATGCAAAATGATTCCTGAAATGGAAAATTCAGGGAAATAAATGCAGCACAAAAAATTTAGGAAGGCAGACACAGGAACGAAAAACATTTTCCCTTTCGTGTCACCGTATACGGCAGTACAAAATCGCTACATCGAACGTATTTGAGGATTATTAACAATTTTTTTTCTCGACGTGTGTGGCGGAATTTGCAGACGCTCCAATTTTTTTTTACTTGTTTATTATTTTTTTTGTATTCTAACATGTTTTTGAATGATTGACCGATTTACTCTTCTATTTCCCTTCGTGAGGTATATATGCGTTGAACCAATCGGCACTGATTCTCGATGTTTGTTGTGTTACAAGAATCTTTCCAGCAAATTTCTATTCTAGACCTAAAGAGCACTATCTTTTCCTTGCTGGTCGCAGTAGTATTCGTTCTTCAGAGTAACGAAGAAACCTGCTTGGGGCAAGTACTGTTTAATTGCACTCTTATTGTTCTTTCTCCGCACGGTAATTTCGATTCTCAAACCTGAACAGATTTTTTAAATGGCCACCGCGCTGCTGTTCATGTTCTGAAGCAGAAAATAAATGTAAGAATATTCTCCTGGGTAGTTGTACCCAAACGATTGTTCTTCCCAGGTATATTTTATACTGTAGGAAAATTGCGAATGCTCTCAACTAAGTTTTGCGTTGAGTAGGACTTAGAGCCGCCGCAGTTACTCAGTCAGGTTCGATCAGTCGTTATAGCCGCTGTAGTAAGAGAGACATTCATCAAATGTTTAGAGCAGAGCGATATGGAAGCTCCTAAGAAAACTTCGTCCTAGAATTAACTTGCGCAGGGGCCCATTAACCAGCCCTTCCATCTTCCATACTTACCCTCTGAGTCAACCTTATCCCGTATCTTTTTATTTTTAGAAGCACCTCCCACGGGGTTTTTCGCGGGTGTTTGCATAATAGCCAAACATAAGAGAGTTGTGGTCCTCTATTGTTTACGTCACATGCGGGCCGCACAAAAGTATTACAATTATGCGAACGTCAGCGTGTTTTCGCGGGAAATTAAAGAACTCCCCATATATCTCAGTTCTAAAAATAGAAAGATACGGGACAAGGTTGAGTCAAGGGTACATTGGTATGGAGGCTCCGGGTTATGGGCTCCTGACTTACGCCTGTGGAATAAATCAGGATTAAAAAATGTGTTTATTGGTTGATTCAATATCAAATTCTCAGAACTAAGATAAGAATTATATGGATGACAGTAAGGAGAATTACAAATGAGATATGAGGAATGATTGAGTTTAAAAAGTGATACATTTCTTTCATCACCAACCGTAAGGCTGAGTTTTTGGTCTCTTTATTCAGAGATGTATGTAAATACGTAACTGAGTTATTTGGTAACGATAATCACCAGCTTTTGCATCAAATGTTTAAACGCAGTACATCAAACTTGAAATGGAATTAAATTGTATTATTGAAGCAATCGGTGGGGCTGTTCGGTTTGTTTTTGGAATATTGATTGTTAACAGCTTTGATTTATTGTAGCACCATTCGGGCATTACAAACCCATTCTGCATGACAGGAACATTAAATGATTAACCCATGAATAACACCTACTGACGTGGTGAAACACTTGCGTTCATGGACAGCAGCCGAGGCAATGCATCATGCAGTGCGTTGGATTCAAGTAATATGAAATATCGGCACGTTCTATTTTCTCTGTAGCCAAAAGCCATTTTGTAGCAAAGGATTTATAAGCTTTTGTCTGGTTTAACCCTACTCCTTCGCGGGCTGGCTGAAGACAACACGACCTCCTCCTCAAATGCAGAATAATCTTAATAAATTTATCTCACATTTTCACAACGCCCGCGATGTCACGGTCAGCGACTTTCCAGCTTAAAGCAGAAATTCAAAATGGCGTCGGATCCTGGTTTTGTCCCGACGGCTGTGAATGTGGAAATTGAAGGCGATATAACTGTGCCTGGTGCCCCAGAGGAAGACGAAGAACCTAGCACTCTAGATGAACCTGTTTCTGTTACTTTAGTGAGTTTGATTTCAAACAGTTTCATTCGTATTTGGTGTCGAAAATTCTAGTTGTAGCGTGTTTCTAGTTCGATTGTTGAGGTTGGCTCTGAATGAAATAACTTTTTTCGTTTCTGATTTCCTCTTTTCGATATAGAAGCGAGATTTGACCGCAGTTGGCAAGAAATTCCTTCATGTACTAGTTCCAAGACAAAGTAAAAGCCTCCTGCGTGATTGTAAGATGTACTTTATATATGGCTGTCACGTATGAATGATCCGATCGTAATATCACTTAGCATTAAGACTATCTAATATTTTGCGACGCTCATTAAAGGCTGACTGGTAATCACTGGTTATTCCTCTATTTTCAGGGGATCTATGGGGTCCTTTAATTCTCTGTGTTCTTCTGGCGATGTAAGTAATTTATGCACTCGAAGACAATTTTTTATCTAAGTTTACCTTTTGTCTTAAATTGCATTTAATTTATCTTTGCAACTAGCGGTTAAAGTGTTTGTAAAGGTCCTTTTTATCATTCTTTTTTAAGAAAGAAGATTTAAACGCTACGAACTTAAATCATAGCTCAAAAGCTAAATATGAACTTATATATCTGATTAATCCAGTCCTTTTAGCTACATGTGCATGTTTGTATGTGGTAATATGATATAAGCATACTTGCAACAACTTGAAGTAACCATGGAGGCTACCTGACGTGTATTTTTCCTCTCAATAGAGGTGTATAGATTTCTTGTTGTTATGCAGTTACCATAATTTAACTCTAGAGTCAAATATAATCTTGACATTATTTTTTGGTTCTTTATTTAAAGCCATACTTGTTGAGTAGGTTTTTACCATGCATTGTGAGGCACATACAATGAATGAAATGGAAATTTGAGTTTGTTCTTATATGCTTGGTTAGGTTGCTGTAGTTCTGTGTACTCAGCTTAATGATTAACCCTTTGACTCCCAAGACCTTATAAGTAATTCTCCTTACTGTCTGCCAAAGGATTCCCATTATGTTAGTTTGGAGAATATGGTGTCAGATTGACTAGTAATCCCATGATTGATATATTATTCCTTATTCTCATCACTTATCTGGTTGATATTGTATTGATATTGTAAGGAGAAATTCTGTCTTGGTCACTCATGGGAGTTAAAGGGTTGAGGAGGTAAATGTCTAAAGAAAATTTGGTGCTGTGTTGGTGGCAGGAGTTGGGGGTGAGGGTATAACAAGGAAATCTGGTTTTATTAAAGGAGTTGATGATGTAAAGTGGCCACTGTTGAGAGTTTCTAAAGCTTGTGTTTCAAGCATTGCTGGTTAACATACATTGAAAGTGTTTCATTTCTGCTGTTTACTATTTTCATGTAATTTCCATTAGGATGCTGCAAGGCCATACTGTGGTTGACAGTTACAGTGATGGAGGACCTCAGTTTGCTGAGGTGTTTGTGGTGGTCTGGGTTGGAGCTCTGGTTGTTACAGTTAATTCCAAGTTACTTGGTGGAACAATGTAAGTACAAGCTAGTCCAGCCTCTTGAGATAAAAGATTGAAAATCGAAGTGCAACCTGGGTTGAAATTCATATTTAGATAGAAAGGCATTCTCTGGGTAAAAGTTATTTCATTGAATAAAGTACTTCAGCTCTCAAGCTTAAAACTTTGAAAACTGTTATAGAAGTCTTTGGACCAAACACTGGAATAAAAAAAGTTTGAAACAGGAAGTGACTTTATATATAAAGATGAATTATAACCCTGGCCACTATCCTGTTTTTATTTTAGGTTATTGATAATCTCAGTGCATTAAAAGAAATGTTCATTTGTCTGATTAAGTTTATTAACCTTAACTTGTTTCTAAATGAAGCAAAGCAGATACAGCAAAACCTCTCCACTACTAAAACTTTAGGAACAGTGAAAGTGGCCCTTTTTTTGTCCATGGATAATAGAATATTTCAGATTAAAAAAATAATTCAAGCAAAGCAAAAATTCTGATAATAGACTAGTAGAAAGGAACACATTCTACTTTAAAAAAATTTATGCGCGTCTACCAGTCTGTGGAATGTCTGCTTTAAGTCAGGCTTTTCATCTGTTTGAATGAACTTTAAATATTTTTGCCAAGCTGTTCATCAACCAGTGATCAACTGGAAATTAGGGAGAGGATAGTTTGGATGTTAAGGCATAATCTAATTACTATTACGTATTGTGCCAGGTAGCTTTATGGTCACTTTGTTACTGAAGGAGTGATAATTGAGAAATTCCCTTATAAATTAAGTAATTAACCCTTGAAATATCATTTGTGCCTTTAAAATAATGATTTTAAAAAAAGTAAGAACATGCATTCTCATCCACAGAATTTCCCACACTTTCTAATAGAATTTTATCAGAAGCAATGTCAACAATATTAATTTTCTTTTTTCCTATCTTTTCAGATCCTTTTTCCAGAGTGTTTGTGTTCTAGGATATTGTATTCTCCCATTGGATATAGCATTGACTGTGTGTCGGTTGATTTTATTCACTAAGCAGACACTGGCTTTATTTGCTGTTCGATTTATTGTTGTCATATTAGGATTTGCTTGGTCGACATTTGGTGAGTGAGGTGTTGTTATTTTATATGATTTTTCCTTTCTGTAGCTTTGTTATACATTGCCAGTCAACATGTTTCAACCCTTTTTACCCTAAAATCAGTATGCCAGTTTTCCATACTGTTCTGTATACATTTCCTTTGGTGCTTACAAGGAGATTTTGTCTAGCAATCAAGAGCTTCTTTAGTTTGGAAGCATTTTCTTTATTCTCATGACTGAAATGTTTGATGTAGGGGTAATATAATTGGGAGAAATTGCATGCTTATCACTAATAGAGTTAATATATCACTAAAACATTGTGCAGTCTTTGGACAAAAAAAAGAAGGTGATGCCCAAGTCAATGGTGGTGTTTGAATTTGTAATGTGTTATAAGTTGTTCACAGATGCATGAAATAATTGCAAATGTTGTTTATATGTGTACTTAGATGTAATTAGACCATCCCTTTAAAATGTTTCATTTCTCATAGCCTTCCCTCTCAAAAAAGTGATTTGATTGCTGGCCAAGAATTGAATATAAACAAACAAAACAAGAAAAGAAAAAAAAAAAAGGGAAGAAAAAGGAATGAAAATGCCAGGGAAGCCTAAATCCAGGAAAAATCCTGGATGCTAAGTAAGAAGGCCAGGCTGTACTTTCTCATGTGCATGCTGATGTTTTCCAACCCAAATGTTTTTTAACTATCAAATGTTTTTATGACTACTAAATCAGACATGAATGAGTTTTTTTTGGCAAAATAAAACCTTAATGTGTTTTTTTAATATGTAAAACAGGGAATGTAAATTTAGAATAACTTTTATTATTTTTCACCTCTTCAAAAAAAAAACCCAAAAAAATACAAATAGGGTCGTTTTAGCACATGGTCAGGAAACAAAACATTTTGTAGCCTATGTGGGCTGATAAAAAATTGCTCCACCACTTGATGGAATTTTTACTTTGGGGAAAGTAAGCTATCTAGCAATCATAAGGGAACACATTTTCTTTGCATGTCTGTATAAAGTAACATCTCTAATGGCGGTCAATGTTCTTTGGCAAGAAGGTCAGCTATTTAACAAGGATTTTTGAAACAACAACTTTGTTCTTTCTCTGTGTTCACTGTATTAACTTCACATTTTTTATTGTTTTGGTTCTAAATATATATATATATTCTTTTTTTATTGTTTTGGTTCTAAATATATATATATATATTTTTTTTCTTTTGTTTTTGTTCTCTTCTTCTTTTTCCTATCCCTAGTTATTTTCCCTATACTCTGTGAGATATGAAAGATTTTTCCTGATCGAATCACAATTTCAAAGCAAAACTCTAACGATTCGAGTCCGTACCAAAATTCTCTGATAAATATTTATAACCCTCCCGTTCCTTGATATACATTCATTTTACTAAGTATTAATAACAGCCCTATTTCTGCATAAATTTTATAGAATTTAATTTTGTTTTTCCCCTTTTGCTACTCTGCATCGCTTTGCAAACTGGTCATTCGAATATCAATCTGTCAATACGAGTAAGAATTGTGAACATCTCTTTTGACTCAGAGAGGTGTTCTACATCCTTGATATTTGCTTATTGTAGCGTGTCATTTGCCAACACGCTAATATTGTCACGAGATGTTCCTCTCAGAACAGTACTACTTAAAAAATCAATCATTAATAATTTTTCTAATTTACCTGTAGACATAAGTAAATTACAGTCGTGTTACTGATTCTGTCCTTGTGATATTAAGCCGGCGCCTGTCGATCAGGTTGTGGTGCGAGTTGATCGCCTCGTTGTGTTTCTTCTGGTTTTTGAATCGCTGGACACGCTACCTCATCGCAGGCAATGTATTCGCTGGAGGGTTCATCGCAGGATTTTCCGCCATCGCTTGGCCTTGGATTTGTACATGTCCTCGTTCTGATCCTAGTTCCTTTGCCACACGTTACGGAACATGGTCCGTATTCGGTCCACTCCGTGTAACCACCATCAACAGGACACGGACCGCCGCATTGGGTATATTCCTCTGCTGGATCCGTGCAAGGTTTTCCACCTTTGCTCGGCGGCGGGTTTGAACATGTCCTCCTTCTGGTCTTAACTCCCTCTCCACACGTTACAGAGCACGGCCCGTACTCACTCCACTGCGTGTAACCGCCATCAATAGGACACTCATGAGTATTACAGGGTTGTTCTTGCCGCGATGGTCCCTCACAAGGCTTCCCTTCGAAAACCGCAGGTGGATTGTTGCATTGCCTAGTTCTAAATTGCTTTCCTCCGCCACACGATCTGTCGCATGCAGAAAAGCTGCTCCACTCGCTGAATTTTCCGTCGATGGGACATATTTTCAAGAAGCAAGGCTTTTTGTCATTGTTTGGGCCGAAACGATAACAGTCTTTGCCGTATCTCCCAGGCGGTGGTTGTGCACAGTTTCGATATCGTGTTTGAAATCCCTCCCCGCAGTCTTTCGAGCAGTTACTCCACACAGACCACTCCGTATAGCCACCATCAATAGTGGCTTTAAGAAACGAGTAATATCCTCCGAACGCTACACAGCACAGAACTACTGAAAGCCCAAGCGTAGGCAGAAACCTTCTAGAGCACATGATCGTGTAATGTTTTGATTTTACGCTCTATTTCCGAACAAAACCTTTCATAATAACAACTTTCGAGTCTTCGAAACTAGTGTAAAGCTAAACAACCGTGTCATTGTCAGGTTCCGTATTGTTATTGGTGAAAAATATGCATTATTCACACGTGGCAGGCGACATCTTGTTTTGCATAAATTTCTCTTTCAAGTTTCTCATCGTTAAAGAGTCGCAATTTTAGCTTCGGTGCGACATATTTTCTTTTCGACTATCACAATTCAGAGTCTGGAGGACCTAATGCGGAAGAATAAGTACGAAACGATATGTCTTATATCAACTCTTAGCGGCGTTGAATATAAAGTAAACACGTTGTCAGATTCCTTTCGAATATTACAGTGTTGCTTAGAATCCTACAAGTCAAATAAACTGGAATAGAAAATCAATCGCGTCTCACAGCGTGAAGAGGATCAGAAATCGTAAGCAGCGTGAAGTCCGCTTTCTACAGACTTTATTTTTTTTTCTTTCCATAGGTCTCGTTTACGCTTAATTTATAATTTTTGTAGTTTCAGTGTTTTTTTAAATGTTGACACAGTATTTGCTCTGGCGTTTTTGCCTTTCGGCGAACGAGTAATTATGCGTGGAAGGGAGGTTAGCCAGAACTCAAGGCTTTCCAGTGTTGTAAACGAGCAAGATCAAGAACATGCAATAGAAAGTTCTCAAACTCAAGTACAACACTTTTGCTGGGGTCAGACGTCAAGAGTTTTTCTTCGAAAGAATCGAGCCTTTTATTTTATTTTTGTTTTTCTTTTGATAAGGTATTGATTAACTATCGTATCCCCCAAAGCGTTCGCAGTTTCTCATGTGCTATATGTAAACTCCCTGTAGAAACTTAAAATTCTATTCTCCCCTTCACTGATTTACATATTTCTTTTTCCTTTATAGCTTCTGTGAAGTTCCTTGGTGATAGCCAGCCGGCAAACAGGAAAGCTCTCACAGTTTATCCTATATTCTTGTTTTACTTTGTCATCAGTTGGATGATTATTTCTCATTCGGGCTGAATACACGAAGCTAAATGCCTTTTGACAAGTAGGCAAACATCTTTACAGTCGAAGGTAGAAAGAGAACTTCCGGTTCACAAAAGTAAGGGTTTTGTCGAGGACTGTCATGTAGGCAACGAGTATTTCATGACAGGAGCAAACGAAATCGAGAAAGAAAAGCTGTGCAAAGTTGTGCAAAGTTGTGCAAAGCCGGTTTTATTATGTCTCTGGTTATTTAGAGAGAAGCGAGTCTTGTTCTTTTAGTTTCTTCACCACTATTGGTCACCAGTTGTTGTAATAGTCGTGCGGGTTGTCATGCAATCGTAATACTGCGTGACGAACCACCGTCACGCTTACCCAAAGAAGTACAGTAGTTTTGTTTATAATCCTCTCGGTCAGAAACTCGTCTAATCTTTTCCCTCTCCATTCAATAACGTATTTTTGTCTCAAAAATCAGCCTGATGAATCGTCGTGCTAGAGTTCTTTTATGAAGGAGAAAAAGTACTCCCAGTGAATTTGAAGTCTATACCCTTTTTTGTCATTTTTACAGACAAAGTGTTAGCGATCGGACTTGTCTGTATTCTTAGGCACATTGACAAGGCCTATAAAACATTAAAGAATTCAGAACGTTTAAAAAAATCAAGCAAACGAAACAAAATGAAAAGAAAAACACAAAACATGTCATGAAATAATTAATCAACTGAGCCAGCCAAACGTTACGAAACTGTTGGAAGTTGTTTCACGAACAAGAATATTATGACAATCGATGGGTGGAGGTTATTACCGACTTTAAAAGTACGACTATTTAAGTTAAAGCTTTATGTAGTGCATAACTGAAATAAAAGCACTTTTATATTGTTATTCTTAATTATCAGTTATTTCGAATGGGCGTGATAAATAGCCGCCAGTTAGAAAGTGAGTCCAGGCTTCTTTTTTTTTCTCTTTTTCCTCGAGAACAACCGAAGACAGGCTTCGGGCAAAGCGAAAATCGAGGTTCTTCCCCCCCCCCCCCACCCCACCCCCCTAGAAATACCTTTAAGATTAGTTTAGGGGCGGGGCAGGTGAAGGATTGCCTCAAGACTGGCACAAAGCAGTCACTTGTGTGGACAGGTTTATTCATTAAATGTGAATAAGCCTTTTCTAAACGTTCCCATAATGTCGCTTTAATTCGTCTCCAAGAGAAGTGACTGTGAGGCCTGAAAGTTGTAAGTTCAATAATGGAATCGACCGCAATAGGCGGTCAATTCTTTAATCTCTGTTGGATTAGGTATTATTGGTTTTGGGAAGACAACACGAAAAATGAAGGGAAAGAGGAAAGGTACTCTCTCGACATTTTCTCTTCTCTTGGTTTTCTCATGCGACATCCGTTAAGAGCGCACTCCCTTAAGTAAATTAGTTGTAGTAGTTATTTATTTATTTTCCATTCTCAATGAACTTACAAGTTCTATCATCAAAACCTCAGTTTTTAGCGCACTCGCTTAATGAATTAGTTGCGAACTTAGATATATATTTTCCAGCCTTAATGAAGTTAAAATGCAAACTAATGTTTCATCATCAGTTTCAATTTTTAGAAATCATGAAACTGAATTTGTCTTCTATCGCGAATACCGACAAATATACTTCTAACAAAAAATTACATTTATCTTTCGTGAGGCACTAATGAGCTATCAGACCCAGATATTGCCAATAAAGTCACAAATATATAAACTAGCCTGTTCTATATAAAATATGGCACTTGTCTTACACCAAGAAGTAATTTAGTTGTTATTGTTAAGGAAGTCATGAGTATACACAAGTAAGACTCGCTTGACTCTACTAACATCATAAGCAACACTCGACACTTGCACTTGCGCTCACGCGCAAGGCATTTTGAAAGAATGAATATTGGGACGGGTACGAATCAACCAGCGGTTCGGGTATGAACTTACTCAAACTGGGTACGAAACGACCAAATTGAAAATTTCGCTCAGAGCGATGGTCGCTGCCCTTTCTCACTTTGACAATAGCGTGCGCCAGTAATTTGGCAATTTTCAGAATTTTTTGGAACGCAAATTAGTCAAGCCTTATGAGCAAATCTTCGCAAGAGTTTCTCGAAGAAAAGACTCAGATTTATTAGTTCGCACACGGATACAGAAAAGTACAAAAAGGGTATATAATCCCTGCACAAACGCGATAAGGTACAACACCTTAATCGATTACAGTCACTTGACACACTTAGCTGTTATGTATTAAAAGAAAAGGTTTTTGCATCACCTAACCAATTCCTGTATCAATAGGGTTTACCAGAGGTTTTCAGATTCTACATCTGTGAAACGTTAAGGGTAACGAAAAACAAAAACTGCTTAAACTAATCAGACATGTGATTGATATAAAAATAATAACCAGAGTGGACTAAACTCAGCAGCATTTAAAGTTAACGCCTGATAGAAATTACGTTGACCGAGCGATTAAAGCTTCCCTGCGTATGAGTAGATTGCAATGGAAGTAAACACAACCAGCGCCAAAAACAACCAGAAGAAAATACGGTCGAGTGCTTGAGCGATGTCCTCCCAGGTTTTCTTGTCGACTTCTTCTTTAGAAACCGAGGTGGGTGGTGTTTCCTCCCCGTGGGTGTCAGCTGAACTCTGCTTATCAACCTTTTCTTGCTTAACATTAGCAGTTTCCTCCATTTCAATGTTTGTTTTTCTTTCCCCAACTTCAGGAGATGCACCGAGAGTAGAGCCAAAGTAAAGTTTTCTTCTATTGTGTCTTAGGCAGCAACCAATCCTGTTAAACACTGAAATTTTATAAATTAAGGAATATTTTAGTTTCGCAAAATTGGTGGGGAAATATTTCCAAGTCACCTCTTTCCTGTCAACCGCTGGGCACTAATATCAATGATGTATGATGCAACGTCCACCTTTCAGTTCATTTGTTAATTATAGTCATGACCGAGATCAGAGGTGTTGTTTGTACAGCGTCTGTCACTATTTGCAATTTCCTTTCTCGCTGTAATCATCATCGTCGTTATCATCGTCACCATCGTCATCTTCATAAATGTGAAAAATTCACCGTGTCATGAGTTACCATTGAGATTACTACTGTCACTTACTGACTTTGAGTTCACATTTTTCTATTTTACTGAGATGGACAGATTTTCAGTTATTAACCTCACCTGTTATCCAGGTCAAGATCCTGGGTGGCTCGGAAGTCGCGTGATGAGCCATCATGACAACAACTGTGACAGTCAGCGCCAGACCGATCTCAAACATGATCACAATGTAGTAAACACCAATAATGGGCAACTCGTCGGACTGTTCCGGAAGCTGATTTACGACGACGAGTAGGTACACACTGACTGACAGCAGAATCGTTGAGCACAGTCCGATCCTTCCGCCGCTCTCCGTGGGAATGAAGAAACTCACAAGAACCAGCAGCCCAATGATCATGCAAGGAACGATGGTGAAAAGGACAAAGAACAGGGGTTTACGTCCAATACGAAATGATACTTCAACTTTGCTGAAAATCGGTGATTGCTTTTTATCCTCTATCTTGATCTCAAAGCTTCTTAGAGACCAATAACCATTAGATGCCGCAAGATTAAGCTCTAAGTCATGAAAAATAAGGCAATGAAGGATATATTTAATTGCACTCCTTATTGTTTTTCAAAGGCAATAGTTTATTTGAGTTGACTCAGGACCTATTTTCTTCAAATTGTCACACAAATATTGTCATGTAACTATACCTTTCTCAGGATCATCGTTCTTGATGGGTGTAGTGTCGATGTTCAAAAGGGTACGATCAGCAGTTACTGAACGAAAAACCAGGCTGCACTTCTGTTTGTCAAAGGGAAAGTTTTTGAAACTAAGCGCACACTTGCTTTTGAACGTTGCTGGAGATAGCCACGTGTTCTGACCACCGCTGTTCACACGCACCCAACTTCGGAATTTTTCCACGTGCCCCGCTTGAACGACCCCAAGGTCGGCACTAGAGGTTGGAAGAAATGGATTTGTAAATAGTGTCAGTAATGCTTATGTTAGACTTTAAGGGTAAAGAAGCTCGAGCAACTCGCACAAACGGAGTCCCCTAACTCACATGATGACCAAAACAGGATTTCTCCTTCCAATATTAACACAATATCAAGCAGACAAGTGATGAAAATGAAGAAAAATATCAATTAGGGGATCATAAGTTGATCCAATACCAAATTCTCCAAACTAACATGACAAGAACTGTATGGCAGACAGTAAGGAGAATTACTAAGGACATCTTGGGAATTAAAGGGTTACAGACTCTTAATGGCTCTTTGTCTGAATGACTAAGTCTCTGTTTCTCTCTAGTTCAGCCCTGAGTACGCGCTCTTAAATATTCCATCAATAGGCATGTTTGAACTTGCGGGACAACTGATCTTGTAAGAGTAATCATATTTTTAGATCGTTAAAAAACGATTTCACCTCACATTCGAAATGAAAAAGGTCCAGCACAAACTCAACACAAAAAGCAACAACGATTATCGTAAAATAACTAAGATCCATTATAATGGTCAAGAACACATCACTCTAAACGTAATGTATGGTCTTGCAGAACATGAAAAACCAAGGCTCACTAGACTCGCACAATGATTTCAAGATAATCTAATAGGCCTAAACAATCCCCAAACTCATGGCCAGAACATTCCTAATTTAAGTAGTTCATAACACTTATACCCATTAAAGAACTGCACTCATTATGAGTTCACGAAATTTAAATTTGGTTCTAAAACAACTTTGAGTCCAGTATCTTGAATCAGACCCAGAGAGGAATGTGCTAGCCGCACCACCGCATCACTGTATGCCCGTTTATTCGTGATGAAAGTTAAAATGCTCCAATAGGAAGTCCTCAATGCTAGCTTTGTGGAGTGAATTCATGGTTGCATAAAAAGTAAGAAAAAACATTCAGTTTCTTTTTATGTTTCTTTTTTTTTTCTTGATTTTTCGTTTAATCTTTTATTTTGAAGTCCGAATACGATGCAAAACAATCTCGCAGTCTAAAAATTTGGGGTGTATTTTCAATATTGATTATCAACTGAATAATACTTGCACGTGCAAACCTCCTGTTACTTGGTATGAACACTCGGGCATTTCAATCTTTCCCGACGGTTTTTTTTTAGAACACTTGCTTAATGCTTGATACTTCCAAAGTGTCATGAAGGCCTCATCCTTGATCAGCCAAAGGCAACATTTATTTACTTAAAATGCTACAGAATTCAACTTACTTGTTTTCTAGTACTATATCAGGTACCCAAACTTCTCTTGGATCCACAAGTATCCGTGTTAAGTTTTCATAATTCAAAGGATCCCAACGTAGGTAAGGATTATTCCATTCCTGTACGCCAAGGAATAAAATTATAAGACTTTGTGACAACTTATGTTTGGTCATGAGCTTAATCTGTTTCCAGTTGACCTACCGACAACTACAGCTTGGCGTCAGCTACCTATTTTGTTAAGTTTTACTATGTGGCCTATTTAAAATCTGGTTACTTTAAATCAAAATGACGTTTGCAACCCTTTTCCCTCATTTGTTTGCAATCAGCCACCAAGCCAGGTTTAAAATGTACTCAGTTTTATTTTACTACCCTTAACTAACGATAGGGACAGGATGCATCAATTTACGGGTTGATGTGATGAAATATTTGCTAAAAAGACAAAAACGAAACGATGGACAAAGGGATGAATGGCTGAATAATGCATGTCTGGGAGAATCAATAAAAGGTTTGACGATTGTCTCAACCTCGCTCCAATTGCTTTAGATATACCGAGACAAATAAATCAGAATTCTTTTGGATCTTCTACGAAGTAAAGTAATGAAGTCTACTAGAAGGTTGCTGTTACTGCGGCATTCCCACTTTGTGATTTTTTTCCTTCTACGTTCCTAATTACATTTGTGTTTTTGCACGCACATTTTGCTTTTTGTTTTCGCATTCTTTTCACTCGTGGCGATTTGTATTCTGTTAGATTTTTCCCATAATTCTGCTTTGTTTAATTTCATTCGTAAAAGTTTCTCAAAAAAATTGAACATTGGAGTATCAGAGTCCATTAGGTTAACATCAATTCCTTCACTGCGATCATCTTTTAGTTCTTCTGTCCTTCGTGCTCGCAAGTCACACAACGTTTGTAAGTGTCTTTCCTTTCCGAATTTAAGAGATCCTCGCAGCTAAGAACACTACTGAATTAGTAGTTGAAAATAGGACCTGAAAAAAAAACTCAGGCCATTACGGGATTTGAACCCATGACCTCTGCGATACCACTGCAGCGCTCTACCAACTGAGCTAACAAGCCAACTATGTTGGGTCCAAATAAACCATCCAAGTGATGAATAATGATTTTGGATGTTTGAAATTCATATATTTGCACTACGGTGAAGAAACGAATTTAAGAGATCCACGCAGCTAAGAACACTACTAAACTAGTAGTAGAAAATAGGACCTGAAAAAAAATTCGGTCCCGCACGAAAATTTGAACCCATGACCGGTGCAGCACTCTACCAACTGAGCTAACAAACCAACTGGGAGTCGGTGTTTTTTTCTACTACTAGTTCAGTAGTGTTCTTAGCAGTGAGGATCTCCATATGACCCCTTGTAAGGTTGCACTTTCCTGATTTGAATCATAACGTACCTGCGTGATCACTGTATCTGTTGTCACAGTTTGTTCTTTATTGTCCTGTGTGCAATAGATAAAAAAGTTCTTACTGGGAGAGGACATTTTATCTATAAATTGAGGGTAACTGAGAATGGAGGTACCATTGACGTTTTAAAATACCACGGCTGTTTAGTTTCAGAGTGATCCGAAAATCGAAATTGAAAAAAATTAAGCCAGCCAGCAGATACACTTCTTGGAACATTATTCTTTGATGTTACAGAATTTTTTGGCTATGATGAGGTACATGTGGTTGTATTCAGTATGACGGACGCAGAACTACGGTCACACTATGAAGATGTATTTATGCTCAACATCTTGTGTGTTAGGGCTTAGATCTAACTCTGATGTGCTACTCGATGAAACAAAATTTAAGGAAAATAAAAAGGTCAATAGAATCATTGTAACTTGAGACATGTGGGTAATCCAACTTGATGTGGGTCTGACGAGGTGGACAAATAACAAGGGTACAGGAGTTAAATTCTGGATCCAGGATTTGACGTGGGGCTCCCTGTATTAAGGTCTACCCTTGTTGCCACAAGAAAAAAGCACCTCTACCTAAGTCTTACAAGTTATGATGCATATTTTAGCTTTGCTAGGTTACCGGTACAAGTTAATTGCAGTTGATGAGGAATGCACTTTCTGGAAACACCGTTGTAAGGTTTTGCTTACCACTTCGGCGAGGGCCAAGAACTGCACATCAAATTTGACTTCAACAACATCTGACGGCTTCAACACCGGACGTACCATTTTGTCGTACGAAGAAAGGAGGACATTCCTTAATCGATACTCTACTGACTGTGATATATTGTGCTTCTGCCCTACCACTGCTTGAAAATAGAACAGGTTTAATAACTCACAATAATTTCAGTTTACCGCACTGTTTCTGAGACAAATTCATATTAACTGCTACCCCGCCGGCAAAACAGTTGAGCAGCATTTTAAGTTATCACTAAGTTTTTGCTTCAAATCAACTTTTGAATTTCTTGTCAACAAAAAAGTCTAACACTCTTATGGAAACTTCCTATTTTCCCTTTAAGGCATGTCCTTACCTCGGTCACTTTTCGGATTGCTATTAGAAGCATAGATTTCATGTACAATCACTTTTTTTTTTTACAACGACATTCATTACTTACGACACATAAACACTATTACAACACATTACCTACAATACATCACTTACGATACATTATTCACAAAGAACTGCTTAAAACTAAATTACAAACTACTGTGAATGCTAACATGAATTGAATATAGAATTACTAATATTACTAAAATCAAGTCCATCAATCAATTATTATTTTTAAGAAGTTGCTCAGCACACTTTATAAATGCATGCAATCGAATGTTGATTAAATACTTTTATCTTATCGCTGGTAGCGCCCGTGGGCAATATGAGGCGAAAACTGTGTTCTGATTGGCTACCCGAGCCCATTTTTCCCATTCAGGATTGCCCGCTTTGATCCCATGCAAGAAAAACATTGCATACTAAGTTCGTTATAATTTGTCGGCGAAGGAGTCGCATAAAGATCCTTAAATTTGTTGTGCTTGATACTATGTGTTTCCAATCGGCAAGGAGAGAGTAAAATATACGTATGAACTGGAAGTAATCTGTCGTCGAAATGGTGGAATACCATTTCTAGGTCTTGTAAGATCAAAATGTCAAATAATTCTAGCATATCAAGACTTTGGCTTTACTGACAAGTTCTCAAAGTGTTGCGTTTATTTGAGCAAGCTAGTTTGTCGAAAGGAACATGAAAATAAATTCCACTCATGGCGATTGCTGTCGAACAATATTGACAAATTTTGACATAATCCAGTGCCGATTTCTTTACCGATGTTAATTTGTCACATATAAAACCAAATTGATTCAAACTCGGAACAAGAAATAGGATCAGTGCCACAGGAGAATTACAGTCTTCAGTGCTTGCCCCTGTACGAGAACTTCACAGAAACAAAAAGATGAATAAAAACCTTCCCTTTTCACCGTCTCCCGGACAATATCACGTTTCCGTTTGAATGTTACTTGAATGTTACCTTGTTTGCGGAAGTTGTTATCGTCAAATCTCTTTTTTTCGTATCTGAAGGGCTCTCCACCTCCTTAAATTACAACGTCTTGCACAAACAGGATAAATGAAGCCTATGGCTTAGGCGCAATGGCCAAAGTTTTGCGAAAACGGGAGACAAGTTTTGTCAAGCCTAACTTATCTTCAAAGGCGCCGTCGTCCTGCCTCGGGGCTGGACAAATTTTTGTCAAGCGTTGAAATCCGACAGATTTTTCTGTCATGATTTGAAGAAAAAGAAAACGTTAATCAAGAAAATTTCATTTCGCTTTTTAGCGGGAGCCTTTCAGGCGGAAGCCTGCCAAAAATAACTACTTTTACGCGGCTGTCAAACGGTAAATATGGAAGACTTGTACCTCGGGATGCTGCATGACGATGTTAACTCTGGATGTAACATGCAGCTCTAGTTTGGGAGTTGCAAAAATAAAGTGAAAAGAAAAGACTTACCGAGCGAGTTTGCACAAATGAACAATACGAAATATACATGTGCGAGCCACATCTTCCTTTGTTGAAATAGAGAGCTTTAACACTGCTTCAGTTGAACTCAGAGGCTGAATAACAACAGTTTCAACCTGCGCCTTAAATTGCATCCGCCAGAAGAGTGCTTGTTATTTACGCAGCGACCGTTTCAGCCACAGATCATTGATTCCTATTGTACCGCTTCGATAATATTTCGTATTCTCTCTAGACTAATTCCTCTTTGGGAAATTTTGCGTCCTGGCCTTGCTGTCGCGATGAAAAAAAAAATGTACCATTGAGTTTAAAGGACGTGCAGATTTGTCTGTTTTTAACTGAAGGCAACGTTTTCTTTCGTTTCTTTTTTTTAAACCTTTTGCACCACCGTTGGCTTGAGTTTTTCTTTGCCATCATTCCAAACACATCAATTATCTTTTACGTGCCTGGGGGCACATATTTTCTTGATGAGTAAAAGGCTTCATTCCTGTGTGCGCATGAAACAGGAAACGGTTTGAGGGTTTTTTGTATTCGCCTTTGACGTACAAAAGATAGTTGTGAATGGCTAACGGCCTTTCAAAAACCTTTAGAGAGCAAAGAGAAGTAGACGTAAATAGAAGCTAGTGGAAACTAGGAGAAAAGAGAACTAATGTACGCATAAATGAAATGTTACAAGTGTTGTTGTTTTTCGCCAAGTTGCACGGTGTCGGTTCTAAGAAGCCCCCTGATATCTTTCACCGAGGATTTACAAAACAATAGATGGTATCAGGAAGGAAACTGTTGGTATTTTAAGTAGCTCGTCTTTCATTAAAGTAATAGTCATTATAGATGATTGTCAAGGTTTTCATGGAGATGTAATGAATCATTCATTTCCCCAAAACTTGCAGCATCATCTTCGATCAATGATTCTCATAATTCTAATGCCTTTAGAGGGTTTAGGGCTGAGTCGGCTGAAAATGCAGCTAAATCAGCAAAGTTTGTTTTATAATACGTAAATAATAGAGCATGACAATGACAAGTTTTGGCGACTACGTCAATTTTGGCAATCATTCAAGGCAATTATTGAAAAGGTGATCAAAACAATTTCCAAAAGTTTCGTGCTTCTCCGTCTATATTGATCGAGGCTGAGTAAACTTCGACAGCTACAGATGCTGTACATCCAGAGACTCTCATGTTAATAATTCCGTTGTCACTGGCTTTTTCATATCTTGCTCATATCTTGCTCGAAAAACATGTCATTAAATCTTCGTCGCCAGAGGTATTCTTTATTGTGATTAGTTTCCGTAATCAATTCATTGGAACGTGACTAAAACTCGGTTGAATCTGTTCTTTTGAAACTTGCCCCGACGCCGTAATCAGTCGTTTGAAAACAAATTAAGGGGGGTAAAATTTTCTTTGGTATGTTGCAGGAAAGCAAACCCTCGTTTGATTCCCATAAGTCGCTGTGAAATACCTTGTTCCCGAATGAAAACAGCTTTTTAGGATCAATTATTACCGGAGCTGTCAAGATACGGACCCCAGATCTAGTATTTATCTTTTTCATTGAAAAAATGTTAAAGCTCAATTTTTTTTCTATAATCCTCGAACGTGGAAATACATACCACGAAGAACCGAATTTTCATCTTTCAAACTTTACCAATGAAGATGCTTAGTTCATTTCGCAAGTTAGGAAAATGGGGACATGAAATCGTTTTTGTCCGAGGCTATTTACTTCCAAATTGCGCAAATTTCCCATCGCGCACAAAAGTTACAGCATAAATCCGTCCAAGGATTAGATCCCAGCTGCGCAGTTGATCAAGTTTGTCTGGAAATTGGGAAGAAGTGTTGAGAGTGAACTTTCATTTTTCTTTATGTCCGAGTAACGAGTTAATTAATATCGCTCCAGAGTACCTGAAAGTATCCCGAGGCTAAGTTTGGGTCTTGAAGAATTAATGTCTTCACGCCTTCGTGAATTGTAACTACGGAAACTGTGGTTCCTTCTAAAAAAAAAAACCGGAAAGATACCAGGGCACTAAATTGTTAAGACATTTGTTGACTAAATAGACTTGTTCCTTTTCCTGAAAATGACAAAGTACAGCAGCTCCGTCCGATGAAAATAACAAAACAGATCAAGATGACGGGGAGATCCAGTTCTCACAATTTTATTATATTCGCACGAATAACACTCTTTTAACGACATGCCTCCCAGTTAAATTTTATCTCAGCTCTAATCTATGACACTGATTAAAAATAATATTGGCACTGCTCAATTTAATTTCACTGATTTTGAAACCAGCTATCAACTTGACATCCAACTTGGTTTTTTAATTCAAACTTTGAAACTTCTGAGAAGCTGACCGAAGAATATCGGAGTCAAAGTTATTTTGAATAAGTAAGAAAACTCATTTAAATGACAAATGATTTTTAAAATTAATATTCATTTTTGAGCTCAGTCTCGCACATGGAAAGAGCTTACGACCTACAAGAAATGTCAACGTCTTTTCCAGCTTCCACGGATTTAACAAACACGTAATTTTAATTCTGTTACCTTGGATGTCATCAGTTCTGTCGGGGCCGGCGAATATTTCTTCTGCTGAATCGAGTGGCTATGAAAGGGAGTCGAGGATTCGTGATTTTCCTTTTTGGTACAAAGTTTCTTCAGGTAAATAATCTACGCTTTGATGCATTTTGCATTGAGTTACTAACCTTCGTTGTACTTCTTAATTGTAACATCAATTTTATAGAGACAAATGCAAAGAAGATTGTATAGCACATAGCACAGTGTAAGACAAATTCTATGTAGCAGCCGCCATGACAGTTCTTCTTGGACGTAATTTAATGACGAAGCTATAAACCCGTTCT